GGAGGATATCAAGGGTATCATCCAGGAAGAGTGCAGACGGTCATTGCAAAGACAGAAGAGGAAGAGAAGACCGAAATGGATGTCAGAAGAGACTCTGAAAACTGCACTGGAACATAGAGAAGCCAAAGCACAAGGAAGAATTCAAGATACTAAAGAGTTGAATAGAAGATTTCAAAAGGCAGCATGAGACAACAAAGTAAAATAGCACAATGAAATGTGCAATGAGTTGGAGTCAGAAAATCAAAAGGGCCTAACTCGTTCAGCATTTCTTAAGCTCAAGGAACTGAAGAACAAATTCAAACCTCGAGTTGCTATAATCAAGCATGCTTTAGGCAGAATATTAAATAATCCAGGAAGTTTTAAAAGAAGATGAAAAGAATATACTGAGTCACTGCATCAGAAAGAATTGGCAAACATAGAAGGATTTCATGAAACAACATATGAGCAACCTATTATATAGATCACATAAATCAGAAAGCTCAATCCAGGCCTCCCTGTGCTCCTAACTGTACCTGGGTTATGATCAACCTCCTCCTTTCACATATGCACTACAACAAACTGAAAGAAATCAATCTCTCTTGGTACCTGCAAATCCATATTATACTGCAGAAATGTCTGACTGGCTTCAGGTTTTAACTGGAGCCCCTGTGAAATATGAACTCTTCCAGCTGCCTGACCTGGACACATACCAGGGAAAGCAGAAGTTGCTCTTCAAGAAACAACTGCAACATATTGTTAAAATGTATGAAGCTTACAGATAAGCTCTTCTCACAGAGCTGGAAAGCAGAAAATAGAGAAAGTGGTGTGCTCGGCGACCAGGCAAGAATGCCCAAGTCAGTTTTTTTTTAAGATAAAAATTCACATTTTATAATGGCTTTAGTTAAACTATTTTCACAGATGAAAAACCGCAAAAAAGGACTGTGATTAATGAGGGCAGCTTACTTTTGGGAAATTCTACAGTTCTAATTTTACAAATATTTTGTTATTAGAGATATGATTTTACTGAATAAAGAGATGATTATCCCTTTAGGAGCTAATACTATATATATAGTATTATATATATATAATACTATATGTATAAATATATATATTCTATTATATATTATATATATAATACTATATATATAAATATATAATACTATATATTTGGAAAGTATTTTTAATATTTTTGGTGAAACAAAAATGCAGCAAAAAACTGTCATTATTAATAGATAATATCTAGGAAATTATTACTTGATTACTTTTTACACTAGCAGTTCTTCCCATTTTTAAAAAAAAAATCTCTTATAATAGTAGGATCTTCTTAAAATCTATACAGTATCTAAAATATGATGCTTATTGACTTAATGTGGAGTTTCATCTCTAGTAAGATAATTCAAATATTACATTGGTACAGTTTAAACAAAGTAATAGTTGGGACCTTACAGTGATAAATTTCTATATATAGTGTAGGGATCCTCGCCCCAGCTCCCCAAAAGTGAGAAGGCATTTTGAAGTGTGTTAAGAGTATATATTTTAGCTATAGGCCCTCTATGAGGTGGATTGATTCAGTGACTGGGATAATTGGGATGGGAGTGTCAGAGACAGTGCGATTGGCACAGGACAGAGCGGAGTTTAAAGGTGTTGTACATAGGGTCGCTATGAGTCGCAGGCGACTCGACGGCACATAACAACAACATATTCTTCAGGGTGGTGATTTGTTGAGTGTTGTTCTAATGTGTTGTATTGCCTTGTGTTCTGGTATGTTCTTCTGTTGTGTTGTGTCTTGTGTTTCTCTATATTGTGTTGTGTTGAACCAAGCGTGCCTTCAAGATTGCAGTGCACTTTCTCACCACTAGGCCACCAGAGCCCTCTATTTTTTTTTATTGTTCACCTTTTATTATTGTTATTATTAATTGCACAGATTTTTAAAAATTAATTGTCGTATGTTTTCTACTCTCCTCCCCTCCCGCTCTCCCAATCTCCCCCACAAAACACCCCTTGTTCCAGATTGTTCTTATACATATAAGGCATAATCATATACAGCTTTTGAACCATCCTTCCCTTCATCTCTTCCAATGCAATGTTCATTATCTATCCACTCTTTCCCCTCGCCTTCCCCAACCCCCTCCGTATCTGTCCTATTTTATAACAGCAGTGTTCTGCAGCAACCCAATTGCCTATCAACAAATGAATAAGTAAAAAAAAAATATGCTACATTCACACAATGGAATACTATGCAGAACTGGAAAACAATGAAATAGTAAAACATTACCCAACACGGGGGAAACTTGAGGATATTATGCTAAGTAAAATAGCTCAGTTACTAAAGAACAGATATTGTTCACCTTTTGGCCTTTCGTTCGGCTGAAAGTTAAACCATGATGTTGAGTTCAGTCCCAAGCATCAAGGCCATGGTTGGTGAGCCCTCTATTTTTACAAAAGCTAAATGGGCAATTTCTTCCTGTTCTATTAACTGCCTCTGAAAACTTGATTCAGCAGAGATTATGGAAAGAGGCATAAGATTGTTGATGTTAAACAGGTCTTGACAGAGTATCAGAAAGATGCTTACTTATGTCTTATTGACTATGAAAAGGCATACCACTATGTGGATCATAATATGATAATGTTATGAATAATATTGAGAAGAATGAGAGCTGCAGAACATTTAATTTGATTATGTGCTACCTACCCATTATAAAACAGTCATTTGAACAGAACAAGAGGATATTTCATGGTTTAAAGTTAAGAAAAGTATGCATCAGAATTGCATCCTTTTCCCGTACGTATTCAATCTTCATGCTGAGCAAATAATTTGATAATTTGGACTGTATGATGAAGAATGTGGCACCAGAATGGCAATGTCGCCCATCAGAGATTGCTACCCCATGGAAACAGCCAGAGGCCTTCATCCAAGCTTATTGGAGGGAGAGGTAGGGGAATCCCATATTGGGCAAGACTAAAAAGATCTTTGTAACACTGGACTAAAGATACAAGGCTGAAGGTCTGTGAGCACTTTTCACAAGCTGTCCTCACCGAGAAGTTGTATTCCATTAACTTCCCTAATAAGTGTCATAATCATTAATATTGTTTGGTAAGGTTGGTATAGCAATTGCAACAGATTATTCATACCCCATAAAGCAGTATAATTCGTGTTGGAATTAGTAAAAGAAGTAGGGGGGTTAACATGGGCAACATGTATGACTTCATAAGAAATGGGTTTGTATTGTGGATGTTTTTGATGGAGACATTCCCTCTTTGTGGAGTGAGTAGAGGTCAAACATAGCCGTCTCCACACTGTACTTGCTCTCTTTACATGGAGGAAGACTCACTGACAACCTACATTATGCAGATGACATACCTTGCTTGCAGAAAATGAAGACTTAAGGACTTACTGAAGAAGATCAAAGACTACAGCTTGCACATGGATTACATCTCAACATCAAGAAGACAAAAACCTTGACCAATAGGCAACATCCTGATAAAGATTGAAGTCATCATTGATTTAATTTTAGTTGGCTCCATAATCAACACCTGTGATAGAAGCAGTTAAGAAAGGAAAATATATGTTCGTTGGGAAAATCTACTGTTAAAAAGCCTCTTTTAACGTTGCTAAGGAGCAAGGATGTTAGTTTAAAGACTAAGGTGCACATGATCCGTACCATGATACTTCATGTGCATGTGAAGGTTGGATAAGGAGTGAAAAAAGAATATTTAAGGAGAATAAATATCTTTCAATTGTGGTCTTGGCAAAAAGTATTGAATATACCGTGGTCTGAAAAAAAAAAAAAAAACCAACAACAAACAAACTTGGAGAAAGTACAACCAGTGAGTTCCTAGAGGTAAGGATGATGAAAGTTTATCTCCCTTATTATGGATATGTTGCCAGTAGGCACTGGTTCTTAGAAAAGAAGATCATGTGGGGGAAAAGAAAGGATCAAGGAAAGAGAGGAAGACTCTCAATGAGATAGGCTAATATCAATCAAATGGGTGTACGCATGATGGAGATTGTAACGATGAGGCAGGATAAGACAAGATTTCAGTCTGTTGTTAACAGGGCCACTATAAGTTGTAGTTGACTTAAGGGCACTTAGCAACAACAACAACTGTGGGACTCAGACTGCCATGGAGTTGATCCCAACTCAGAAGCACATATAGGACAGAGTTGAACTGTTCATCAGGCTTTCCAAACCTGTGAATCCTTGTCTTTCTCCCCCTGAGCCACTGATGGATTCTAACTGCCATTTGGTGGGTAGTTGAATGCTTTAATCACTGTATCACTAGGATTCTTTTAACTGTAGGACTACTAACCAAAAACTTGCTGGTTTGAAATCATCAGCCTCTCTGTGGGAGAAAGATATGGCAGCCTGTTTCTGTAAGGATATACAACCTTAGACAAACCCTGTGGACAGTGACCCTATTCCCTGGGTCACTATGAGACAGAATTGATTAGACAGTAATTTGGGTTCTTTTTCCTTTTTTTTTTTTTGTTTTTGTTTTTTTTTTTAAACTGTGGGACAGAGTATCAGAGAAGGAAAGTGAATTTCCCCATTTCCTTTCTATGACAGTTGAAGTCTGTCAAGCAGTAAAGTTCATTAAGAAGGGACAGGTCCTTGGAGAGGGACATCATGCATGGGAGGGTGGAGGGACAGTGCAGGAGGGGAAAACCCTCTGTGAGGTGGATTGATTCAGTGACTGGGGTAATCGGGATGGGTATGTCCGAGGCAGTGTGATTGGCACAGGATAGAGCAGGGTTTAGGGTTGTTGTACATAGGATCGCTATGAGTCGCAAGCAACTCGATGACACATAACAACAACAACAACAAACAGCCACAAAGAAGAAAAAAAAATTGGTCTGACCAAATTAATTCCAACCCAAAGGCCAACTTTCCTCTGTGGAGGCTGCTTTGAAGCAGTAACACTTCTGTTTTTCTGGCTCATCTGAGACCTATCAGAGTTGGTCTGAGCAGCAAGGACGTTCTGTGAGCTAGAACTCCTGGTTTCATGCCCCCAATAAACAGGAAGATTTGGAAGAAAGAGGGTAAGACTTGGGAAATCTAACACATTCGTGGTAATAAAATATATTGAGTGTTTATTCTGCCACATTCCTTAAACCTTAGTACATTATCTCACATAATCTTTAGAACTTCTTTAAGAGCTGGTGTTCACAGCCTCACTTTACAGATAAGAAAACCATGCAAAGAAATTTGTGTAAGTTGACCACAATCCCACAAGCAAGTCCAGAATCAAGCCAAATGCTGCCTGCTAGCGAAGCCCAGTGTTTTCAATAGCAGCCAGTGGCATAATTAAATCAGACAGCTTTGCTCAGAGAAGCTCTTCTGTTTAGAAAGTTGTTGGCCATGGAAGATTTCTACTGATTGAAGATTCTGAGATGGATCCCTTCGGGCAAGGAGAGAAGACCCTCAAGGAATGCACACTGTGTGTTAGCTGATGTTGGGGTGGAGCAGAGTGAAGCCAGAGGCAAGAATGACGAGGTTTCACCTCATATACTGTGGGCATGTTGGTAGGAGTTGCTATTTCTCAGAGAATGACATGATGCTGGGAAGGGTGGAGGATCAGTGAAGGAGAGGAAAACCCTCAACCAGGGGAATGACACGGTGATTACTGCAGTGGGCTCTTGTGTGTCAGGAAATGTGAGGATGGTGCAGGCTAGAACAGGGTTCAGATCTTTTGTTAATAGGGTCGCTATGAGTCATACTCAACTCCATGGCAACTAGCAACAACAACAACATCTTCATTTCAGACAATAAACACCTTGATCTGACTACGCTGGACAATGATCCAAACTGCTCAGCACTGGTGGAACAGACAAATGATGATCCAAGCAGTCAATGAGGGGAAAGACCCCAAAAGCCCTATATGGCACCCATTGCAGGTGACAGGCTCACAGTGACTGGGCAGAAGGGTCTTCATCAGATTTGGTCACTCATGGATGTCTCTCCCTCCACACCCACCACTCATCCATTATTCATTACCTACTCCTCCCACTGGGCAGGATTATACCTCTTGTGTGGAGGTTTTTGTTATGTACTATATAGTCAGTACCAACTCATAGTTGATCTTCCAGTGAGTTTCCAGAGGCTGTAAATTGCACAGGAGGAGACTGACCATCTTTCTCCCACAGAACCTCTGTGTGGAAGACGGGCAGATAAATCTCCACAACCCTTGCATGTCAGTTGTTTGGAAGACCGAAAGTACCCCACCACAGACATAGATGAGGGAGAGAACTGTTTAAAAGGGATATAAGATTAGGTATTGTTGTCATGACAGGAGTCCAGAACTAGGGCTGCATAGTGGAGTGGACTTGGGGGGAGGGATTATATAACAATGGAAGAACTTTTCTTTCACTTTTCAAAGAGAACAGCGAACTGGGGGGGG